ATTATACTGAACCTCTCTTTTGATGATTAATGTCGATAATTGGTAGACGTCTCATTTTTCATATTACTTTAAATTAAGAATTGAACAAAGAATTTTGAAGTTACTGACCTCAATAAAACACACATACCTGATATGCCACCTAACAAATCAAACAACAATTCGCAGCTTCACAAAAAAACATTTTTGACAATTTCAACTTTACTTACACAGAAACAAAGTCGAAATTTAATGTATACCAATTAACATGCAGCAACTCTTACGTAATATTATTCTAAATCATGATCAATTCGTTGCACTAAATCGTAAAACATGTTTAATTAGTGTATAACTGTGTCAGTTACGTGTTTAGTTAACACTAAAATCGGAGGTGCCTGCCTCGTTGGCTGAGTGGTTGCAAGTGCAACTGCCGGGCAAAGGGTCTCGGGTTCGATTCCCAGGTCGAGCAAAGAATTACACGAATTTAAAAAAACTCAGTAGTAGCATGGAACAGTCCAGAATAGTGTCCGTTCTATGGCAATAGACTCGCCCTATTACATGGGATTCCTAACATAAATGGTGGAAAGTGGGTGTTACATAATTGTACAGTGGTATTAAGTAGGGGTAGGCACCCCTTCGGGGATAAAAGCCGTAATGTTATGTTAGCTTTGTCAAAAATAACGCTCTATAGTATTTTGAAGAACTTTATCACCATCTACAGACTTAGACTCCCTCTATTATAATAGAACCCAAAATAGTGTACCGTGTTATTAGTGACAAAATTTCATAAACCGCATCAGTCACACGAATGAGTACCGCCATTTGTGCCTGTTATGGCAACAATCAGACTTAACCCTTATTTTACTTCACTCGAGTGAGGCGGATGGGAGTGTCAGACTCTTACTGACTAAAAACCACCCCATTCGTAGGAACCGGAGGAAGGAGTAGTCCTTCATTTTGAGCCGGAGCCCCGGCAACCCAATAAGTCCTCTGCGGCTCCGTATCGGCATCAGCCCTAATGGGCCCCATCCGTGGTGATCTGATGACACTCTGAGGACCGCGCGGACCGCGACTCGCCGTACTCTCGGGTCTGGTTCTGGTGCGGCAGCCCTAATACATAGGATTCATAACGTAACGAACGTAACTGCTTAGTGGAAAGTAATTAAAATTAGTGCCATTGTTTAAAACCAATTCGTGAGAACAGTCTGCCATACCATATCGCTTCTCAGTTCTCACACACAAACAAAAACACATAGACACTAAACTTACATAACGCGACTGAGTCATAGCTACCTCATTTCATAATCCTTCAGACGATCGTTCTTCTTGTCCTCATATGTATCGTGTCAAGGACAAACACTCTTACATTATACCTCTATATGATTGATTCAAACAATCAAGGAAAAAAGTAACAAAAACATTTAACTTGACAGTTAACCTTGAAAGTTTTCATTGAAGCGAAATATGTAAATTATTATTATAATAATATTAGTTCATAGAAATATTATAATATGTATTTATACATATTATATTAATGTAACTATTTTGGTGAATATATTGGGGTTTTATTTTTGTTTACAAAGTCATTTACGGAATAAATATGATGTTAAAAAGATTAAATTAAAAAAGGAATTATTTGGACGCTGGCATTAAATCGAAAACACAAACATTAAATGTAATTAATTCCCATTAGGTGTTACTCCGCCATGACACTTATAGTAACCAAAAAAATCCTAACACTTACGAAACACAATCTAATATTAAGTAACATTACAATTATATGCAAGTAGGAACAAATGCCAAAACTTGGTACTGTCAGTACTTCGATCTACTTTCGAATGCAGATGACATATCACGATAGAATTCAGCATCCCAACAAGCCAAAGTATGTACACACGTACAGATATTATTTGGTAACAAAACATACGCAAGTTCATTCAGTAGAGCATTGGAGTCATAGAAATGGTTCACCGAACTCTTGCGCAAATGTTTAGTAGCGTCAGCGTGCATTGCGCCGACGCAGGTCCGGCTCGTTCAGCGCTGGAAAGCCCGTCTTGTGCAAGCCATTGGTGCACAAATGCGCAATGTTGAAAAAAATCAAATCCTGTTTATAATTAGCACGAGGTAACAAGTTTGGTACAACTAATAAAAAATGTCTAGAATCTTTCATTCAATGTTTAGTTGCTTTATTAGTTTTATTTGTAAACTGGAAGTTAAAACTCGTTTGTTGGTGTTGCTGTGAGACACTACGGAAATGAATCATCAGCGTCAACCTCCATTGGAATACGTCCACTGCTGAATAAAGAAGATCCTCTCTTAAGATGAATTTTATCATATTCTCAAGCTTAACAGACAGTTTGGAGATCGCAGTTAAGTCATTGAACTATTAAATGATGGTGCTACTCTTCCTTCAGTCGCTGAATGCAATCCTATGAGACGAAATTATATTGAGATGTTTTAATTATTTGAATGAAATAAAATGAAGTATTTTGAATATGAACAGTATGGAACGAACACACGGAACACATACTTCTACAGCATATCATGCTTCATACATACACAACATTATAATTAAGTATTTACTTTTACTCGGAAGAAACAGCTAAATTGTATTAAGTTAATTATTACATACATAGTTCTCGTAACTACGGATCAGTACTTTAGTCTTCGTGTTATGAATATGAATGTATTTACTCCTTACGACTTACATAATAGTTTAAGTACAATAGGTGGCAATTGTCATATTAACTCGGTCGTTATGTTATATAACCAAATGATGCATTTTAATGACATAAACATACTCAAAGTGATATGTACGTCCAATCCAAATTAACATTTTTCTTTAATAATGTTGGCGGGTTCTTCTTTTGAAGTGATTCATCACAATGTACGTACATTTTTCTTCGGATTTCTCATATTATTCTTAACTTAATGAATCCACGTTTGGACAATTTTATTTATTTTATTTCTGATTAATACTAGAAAGAACTAGGTCAATAACAATCGGAATAAATGAAAAAAACAATTGTGTTACAAATTGAAGCGCGTTGATGTCTTTTGTACTGACATAATTACCGGTGCGGCAACAATTTACGCATGCGGCAATTCTTTATTAAAAGCTTAGTTACAAACAAATTGAATAAAACAATCGATGACTAATATTTTGTTTGTGCTATAAATACTAGAGGTATAATCGATGGAGGTTACGGGCTTTTATTAAATACAGAACAAAACAATAACACAAAGGTTCATTGACGTGGCGTAGTAGATAAACAAAGGAAGTAACTGAGTTGTACATAAAATATGAATAAATTCTATCTATAGTAACTATACATACTAAATGCTAAAATATATGTTAAATGTCAAAACTACACATCTATACATTACAACAACATTTAACAATAAACTAAAATGAACTAAATTATCTCTCTTGCTATGAGTATACTATAATGGATAGAACAACAAGAGCTAGTCCAAAAACTCCAATCGCAACATTTCAGCAATCTAGTTAACATTTAAATGTATTTTTAGCCAATAAACGAATAAAACTTGGAGTAATAAGTTACTGGGTCATCGAGCCTTAGTAGATAACTTTGGTCCTGAGAAAGTGGCTCATTATCTTGTTATGGAAGGGTGAGCCCCAACCATGCAGTGTGGGTGGCTTATGTCTAGTTATATAACAATACAATACTTATATACTTGTGTGGCAATCAAATGTCGTTTATATCAAATTTTAATATTGTCAAGTGAGTGTGAGTTTGGATTAAAATTAGGTTAGGTGCATGTTTTGCAGTAGAGAAATTATGAAATGAGGCTTTTTTTATTATTATTTTTTTTTGTCTGTAGTTTTGTCTTTTCCAGTTTTATAGAGCACATAACTTTAAGCAAGAAGAGACTATTGTCTGAATACTAAATTGTCTCTAAAATGCTATCCCTATCATTTTGAAAAGTAATTGTTTATTATGTAGAAAAAATCATTTTAAGAGACTTTTAAAATGAAGTAGTGATTTGTTTGATTATTTATATGTTTGCAATATAGGTATATAACATCACGCCTTTTATCTCCGAAAGGGTAGGCAGAGGTGCACATTACGGCAATGAATACCACTGTACAATGTAATACCCATTTTTCACTATTTATGTTATGAGTCCCATGTAATATGGGGAAAGCCTATTGTCATATACCGGGCACAATTCCACATTCCGTGCTACTACAGGGATTTTTTTTCTAACCCAGTACAACTTAGGCCGACCTGGGAATCGAACTCAAGACCCCTTGAATGGCAGTCGCACTGGCGACCACTCGACCAAGGAGACAGTACAAGTATATCTATAGAATAATAAAGTTATTATTTTACGATTATCTCATTTAAAGGCTGATAATGCATTTGTTTCTCCTCTGTAGCCGCGGGTGTTTATGAGCAGTAGTGATTGCTTACCATATAAGTGTACATGTGCCTGTGTGCGCCCATCTCATAGAAACATCCAATTCAAAGTTTTATGTTATAATCTGCGATATCATCTACAGTATGTGTATTTGTGTCTTGGCGTAATTCCGAGTCCAATATATTAATCACGAAGATAAAGGAGCGACTCAGTGAATCCAACTATTATACATCAAATAGTAAGTTAAAATCATGGACAATATTTTCTTCTACATCCAAATCAACTTACTGACTTCATTTGGCAATAGAACGTAGTATTATTTTATTGGGCCATAATTGACACACATACACGTAAACATTCACAGCATGTATCAAATGTATGACATCAGTAACTTAATGTCTGTTCGCCAACGTCTACAATACAGATCCGCTAAGACGGCCTCAAAAACCCCATATTGCCAAACATATACTCGGAACATGAATGAACTAAGGGTCGATCAATGCTATAGCAGACGTCATGACCTCTACCCAGGTTCTTTTGCGATAGCCGTTTAGCGATTAAATGTACTCAAGTTTGGTCGGTCGATCGACTATCTGGGATACCGTGGTAGGAGGCTGCGTCGATCGTCTTACAAAATCAGCCCGCGTGCATCTTTGCGTTGGTCGAAGTATAAAGCGTCGTCGTAGTAGAAGTGGCAGTCATTCGGACGCAGACAGTGCGCCGGTAAACAAGTGAATATTTGAACATAAATAAGTTTTAGTGATACAAGGAGTGAACCACTTTAAAAGTAAGTTCTCAGTGTTTTGAGTTCGTGTTTATCAGTTACATCACAGGATTTGCGGTGAAGGAAACTAAACTGACGTTTAGCGGCACAATAACAAACTCGTTGTAGAATTTCTCTTTCAATATCCGACGGAGGAAAGCAACTACCGCATCGTGTATACGCATTCATTGCGCAGAAATTATAGAATTAATATAATTCCTTTAATCATCGTAACGATCATTGGATGTGTAATCATGATTTAATACGAATGTGTGTTTACTTTTTTCTTCAGAATAATAAGGTAATGTCAGTTAATTGTTTCATGCACGTAAAAGTCAATACCAACTATTGTGATAATATCGGTGACATATCTAGAAAAGAGTAAATAAACATTGCATTGTTCCAATTATAAAAATTTGCATACAATGGGGAGTAGGCAGTTTCCCAAGTAAATGATCCTCGCGTAAACTTTCACTTTCCGGTCTCTTGTGCGCCCGCGCCGGTCTCAACCACAACATCAGGAATATGTAAAACATTGCATAACAACAGAACCATGCTACACTTACCATATTCCATAGTTTCCGCTTTAACAACATAATTGTCTATAGTATTTATTTAAGAAAATAATGTATCTAGTAAATTATAATTGCAAATTAATTAATAAACTTTTGTGAACACTCAAGAAAATGAACAATGAACATAGGTAAAAAAAGGTCAACATTTTTGAACTCAGTTAAAAAATATACTTTACCTAAATAGTAGTTAGTATCCACATGCAGTTTATGCTTAGGACAAGAGTAATTATTATTGCACGCAATAATTACTTTCAAACGTCTTTACAAGATCGCATACCTTTCAAAACGCATTTATTTTTCCATTTGTCTATATTTTATGCGCTCTACTAACCGCGTAAACTAAAAATGCGCGGAAATTAAAAATGCGAATATTCTCATGATTGCAGTAACTTCTTGCATAAAACAAACAAGATGAAATAATCGGAAGTTACATAATTATTATCGACGGTTACCGAATTTGTGACGCATCGGTCGAGACGCGCGCGGCTTACCAACGAACTGTTTGTGCCAGTTTTGGTCGACACCACGACACTGACACCAATATCGACTTTCTTTCATAACAAAAGACAAAAGCTGACCTCAATAACGTATCAGAATACCTATGTGTTTGACATTTAACTTTATCTTTTACAATAATTGACATCTTCATATTAATTCTTAAGAAAATATCGCATTTGAACAATCTATTATGGTGATGTGAACAAACATGAGAGTAATGTACATGTTTAAAGACGTATACTTTGTGTGAGAGTGCTTTCGCGGCCCCACGCCTTCCAATGACCGCGCAGCCACAACACGGCGCTGACGTTATGTAGCCTTATATAACAAACTGTCTGCGAAAGTAAAAGTGATTCTCCGTTCGCAGTTTCGAAACAATGACATGCTTTACAAAATAAGGATCAAATGACATCAGCATTTTCTTTAATTTTGTTACAGATCATGCGGTGGTCAACGATTACTTTTATATTACTGCCAATAATATTCGCCAGTACCACTGCAGAGTGGTCGTGGGGCGGAAAAGAAGACTCCAAACCGGCCGACGAACTCCACCAGAATGCTTCGCCTTTGTTACAAGGAGAACAGTTACCCGAAGCTCAAGAGAAAAACTTTGAATCTAACAGCACAGTACTTGATGACATTGTCGACGAGTTAGTGAGCAGCAAGCAAGGAAGAAGCCTGGGCGGCTTTGACGATGTCTACAGTGACCCCACTATTAAGGAAGCATTGGACTCCGGAGACGACGCTGAAGCTCGAAACCTAATCAAAGGGAGATTGTGCACCCTAGGTCTCATACAAGTATGTATCTACATCATGGTATCAAACTAAAAACTTTTGCTATTATAAAATATTTTTCATTTACTTACATAACATTTAAATCGTTTCAGTGTGAAGACGAAGATAGCCAGGAAAAACGTACATACCTGTCGCCGGATGAAGTCATTTACGCTCAACCCGTTGATATCAAGCCCATTGGGAAACCCATTGCATCAATTCCGGTCCGAGGCCCACCAAGAGCTTATGGTCCACCTCAGCCTATGTCTTACCGTCCACGACCTCAGAAAATTCCACCTAAGAGAGTCGGCTACGGCGGCAATGTCAGACCTGGTTTCTCTGAAAAGTATGGCGTAGCAGGAGGCAACTTCCAATTCTCACAAAACAGTTATAATGCCCACGAATCAAACTTCGTTACCAAATCCCCTATTTATGCGACCCCAGGTCCATACGCTTATGAGAATGCCAAACCAGCATACAACAAATATCCATCTCATTCAGACACAAAGACTGATACCGTTGTTCAACAACACATCCATCACCACTACGTACACGAAGACAACAAAGATCCCAAAGTTATTATTAAACCAGTGGCAGTTCCTGTAGGATCTGTAGGTCAACTGAATTCACAATCTCTTGGATCTCAATCACTTGGGTCTCAATCATTTGGATCTCAGTCTTTTGGATTACAATCTTCTGATATTATATCGGCTGGTGGTGACTACAGCAGTATAACATCTGGTGGATTTAAACCCATGTCAGGAGGATTCCACTCAGATACTAAACCGATTTACGAATCTGACACAATTTACGGATCTCAATACGGCCACCAATCTAACAAAGTTGGTCATAATGGGAATATTTTAACCCAAAGCTTACCCAATCAATTTAATAACAACGCATTTGAAGATCAAAAGTATGGAAACGGATTGGGTAGTTACGCTTCTCAGAGCAACGAATTTTACAAAAAAGAGTTGCATGTAGGTTCCCAAAACAATATTTACAATCAAGGACCATCAACTTTCGGACAAAGCAATGGTTATGCCGAAAACTACCACGAAGCCAAAGCACAAAACTTTGACTGTGTTTGTGTAAACTATGACCAATGTCCAAGCCAAGAAGTAATTGGCCGCAGAGATGACCTGTACTTACCAATTGACCCTCGCAACAAAGGTAGTGAGATTGCTGCATTAACTGAGGAGCAATTAGATAATCTAAACAAAACTGACATCGCAACTGCTACTGCTGAATCCGCTGCCAACGCTACTGAAATCAAGAAATTAAGCAAACGTGAAACTAAAGAAGAAACTCCTTCTGAGGCTGCGAAGGAGGCTGAACCGGTAAGCATAAAATAATTTTAATTATTTTTTTTACATTATGACGTCATTCATACCAAGGGAAGCTTTGTCCCAGATTCATCATAACATTGATTACCTTTCCTCTTCCTTTTCTTAGCACTCATATTCCTCAGAACCATTTCCCCGGTTTTATTCATCATATTGGAACCTGAGGTAACACTGTTACATTTAGTTTAAGATATTATATTTAATGACAAACGTAATTGTAACAGTTTACAAAAGATATACTAAACAATGGGCACTGACATAATATTATAATCTAACATTTCATAATAGTATAATTTATTGATATACAAAAATATTACTACAGCGCTCGCCTCGATATCCTGGCTTCAACGAGCATACCGGTCATGACCAAAAACATGTGGAGCCCACGTTTGGTGTCTCTTTTGCCTTGCCCCAGGGACCCCAGAGTTCTAACTTCCATCCTTTCAATCCGCACCTTCGTCCTTTCAGTTCTGCCATAATGGCCGGTGGTATTAATTTGGGACTCGCCGTTGTCAATCCTGTATTCTCTCTTCAAGTTACCAAAACTCTTGAAGGTGAAAAAATTTACAAACCTCTTTTACATTTTCATGTGACACCTAGCGAAAGTAAACTAAGGGCATTGACACAAATCTTTGATGAAAAAAAACAATACTTACTGAATAAACATCAACATTATCATGTACATCAACCATTTCCTGCATACCCAGGACCAGCCTACCCGCCACAATATAATTTTCCACATTATCCACCTCCCCGACCACATCATCCACACCCTCCTCCCAACTATATACCTCCACCACACGTGCACAACGGACCTCCCGTCTACTCCCCACATTATACTGATTATAAACCGTATAGTTACCATGGTAATAGTCTACCTTCAGAGGTTATCATGACTACGAAGATGATAGCGATACATACGGCGGTGAGGATTACCCTCACCCTGAATACAGAAGCCTACACAATGAAGATAGATTAGAAAAAAATTCTGACGTTTCTGATCACGGTACTCATGTAAATAGATCATCCTATTCCCGCTCCCTTGACCTTCCTTCAACGCCTCCTCGGGCAAATCGGGGATACCAAACAGTCCGATTTCCTGAAACGAGAAGGAAGAGAGAAATCGATGTAGGAAATATGTCCGTAATTATAGAAGAGGTAATTTATGCACATTTCTTTTCCCTTTGCACAACTACCTCTATGAAATTCATTTACGAATTGTTGATGTACCATAATACATTTCTAACTATTTTTTTTAATTCGTAGCGTCAAGGATATTTTGGTCGTCCTCCAGTGCAACAGTGCAGACCTAACCAGGTTTGCTGTCGTCGTCCTCTGCAACCACAAGCAGCTAACAAAGGACAGTGCGGCATCAGACACTCTCAAGGAATCAATGGCAGAATCAAAACTCCCGCTTACGTCGATGGTGAAAGTGAATTCGGGGAATACCCATGGCAAACAGCTATCCTGAAGAAGGACCCGAAAGAATCTGTATATGTCTGCGGTGGAACACTTATTGATGGACTTCATATTTTGACTGCTGCTCACTGTGTTAAATCGTAAGTAATACTTACTATACTTTTAATTTACACCTCTACATAAATCATATTTTAAACCAATCAGAAATATACAAATTCAATTACCTAATAATTTAAAATTTAAAGATATCTAATATTAAATATCCTTTTTCAGATACAAAGGTTTCGAGTTAAGAGTGCGTCTTGGGGAATGGGACGTGAATCGTGACGTCGAGTTCTATCCATACATTGAAAGAGACATCGTGTCTGTCCACGTACATCCTCTTTACTACGCCGGCACTTTGGACAACGACCTCGCTATTTTAAAGATGGACCACCCTGTCGAATGGACTAAATATCCTCACATCAGTCCCGCTTGTTTGCCAGACAAGTACACCGACTATTCTGGTCAAAGATGCTGGACTACCGGTTGGGGTAAAGATGCTTTTGGAGATTACGGAAAGTACCAGAACATTCTGAAAGAAGTTGATGTGCCTATTCTTTCCCACGGCCAATGCCAACAACAGTTGAGGCAAACACGTTTGGGTTACAATTACGAACTAAACCCTGGCTTCACATGTGCCGGTGGTGAGGAAGGAAAAGACGCGTGCAAGGGTGACGGTGGTGGCCCCCTGGTCTGTGAGCGCAGCGGTACCTGGCAGATCGTGGGCGTCGTCTCGTGGGGTATCGGCTGCGGCCAGCCTGGAGTACCTGGTGTCTACGTTAAAGTTGCTCACTACTTAGACTGGATCTCACAGATCACTGGGAAATTCTCTCCCTATTAATCATGAAAGTCTTAATTAAAAGACATCTACAATTAATTTATTGGACATAAAAGTATCTGATATTTATTTTTAGGATTTAGATGTACTTATTTAATATTTATTACTTATAAGCTTTGGATGGTAATATCCAGAGCATCCGAGTAATTGCGTATGCAGATATTTGTATTTGCTGTTGTGTAATAAAAATAGATATGAATTATAATAATTTCTATACCTTTATTTATTCCACCTGAATACAAAACGTTGAAGCACAGAATCTAACTCTAACATCATCATCATATCAGCGTCCTTGATATCAGCCACACCACACGCAAGATGTCCACTCTGGACATAGGCCTCCCCCCAGCTCCCCCAATAACCGTTACTGTTTGCTAATTTATTTTAAAATGTCACCAAAAAGCAATAATACCTCCATGTCTTTTGTGGCATTCGATCCGTGACATTTTTTGTCAACAACGTCACATATACGTCGTATGAATATTATTCCCTGAAGTAAGAATCGAAGTCTAATAAAATAAAAAATTCTATAAGTCTATACATTTATTTGGTTCAAATAAAAATGGCCGGTAAAGGTACGGACCGAAAGACCAAATTAAAAGACTTAAGGGGTATCGGTGAATCCAATGATACAGCAGCGTTCACATTACCAGACAGCCTCCCTTGTTCTGAAGTTGATTTCCCAATACTGATTAAGAGAAAGCCGAGAGCGAACTGGAATGATATCATCGACGAAAGTAACAAATGGCACAAACAATTGGAAGAATTTAGCCAGAATAAACTAGTACCTGTACCGAAATCACCGTTCCTTAGTACGTTTGCAAATTAGTACTTCTGATAATATGTTCCGATGTTTTACATGCTTTTTATATTTACGTACAATAACGCGCTCTCAATACGACCACCACAGACGGGGCCCGCTAGGATCGATGCCCGGTCAGGGGTACAGGTAAAGTCCCCATATCACGGACTCGGCTCCAAACAGGAGTTAGCACAAGATGATTTTTAGCCAGTAAGAGTCTAACACGGTGGCAATCCCTCCTCACCCACGGGAATAGTAATTCAATGATTCCCACACCCCTCAAAAATGGACAAATTGTAGCACTTGAGATTTTGGTCGTATATTAGGTAGGTACGTCGGTATAAGGTGGGTAGGTTCTATCGATGTGCTCGACCAGATCCGTAAATATGAAAGAAGCAAAGAGAGATAATTGTAAAGTTCATATTTGTTGACGCTAGCTACTTCCATGTATTCAAGTTGCGAATGCAGTTAATATATTTTCAGAAACTGAAACCGATTATATTAAAAATGAAGTATTTGTGCAACTCATACCCGCCTTAGTGGAGACTCTCAATAAAGCTAAGATCTGGGAAGCGTTTACTAGAGACAAATGTTTCTTCAACGGAATAGACCATATCGTTCAGGTACAACTGGTTTTGTACAATTTTACTTTCTAGGTAGCTAAACTTCGAGCTCAGTGGCGTATGCTATTGGAGAGGCGGACAGTAGTTGACGGAAACGGGTTGGTTGTGATGATGATAGTTTGTCATACGTGATATGATAAGACTACATACCTACATATGTGTATGGTCTCGGGTTCGATTCCCAGGACGGGCAAAGTATTTAAAGTATTACTTAAAAAAATCTCAGTAGTAGCACGGCGTCTAGAATTGTGCCCGGTACATGGCAATAGGCTCACCCCCTATTACATGAGACTCATAACATAAAAAGTGAAAAGTGGGACTTACATTGTACAGTGGCATAATGTGCACCTCTGCCTACCCCTTCGAGGATAAAAGGCGTAATGTTATGTTACATACCTACACTGCTGCCCAGACCTAATTAATCTTAAGTCTTAAAAATTTAATCAGGCGACCTTTATTAACAGAGCGCCGGCTCTAGCGAACCAACCAACCTATTACGTTACGAATGCGATAGTTATTCGTACTTGGCACTCTGAACATTCAGCAGATCAGGACTCGCCTTAATACCTTCATTTAGATGAAAAACAGACAATGTTATATGACCTACAAAACGAATTTATTACCCGACTGTAGGAAGGGTATTATTTTTCGCGTATGTCTTGCTCTATGCTATTTTTTTATTTACGCAGGTTCTCTGGAACAATAACCCTCGCTTCCCGGGACGCAAGGATGTGAATTTGCATGTGTTCAACATGCCGTGGGTTAGAAAGGCTCTTAAGATGAAGTAAGTAAATATGTTCATGTCTAAATGAAAAAAAAAACAGGCCAAATGAGTCGGACTCGTAACTCAGACGGTACTGTGGTCATAATTGCATTAGGTATTTCGTGTTAGTTCCTAAGTTAGGTTATATTATTGTGGTTTCGGTTATACGAAAAATTTTTCAGTAGCAACCGACACGTGGTCTGAAATTGGGTTCAGTAGTGATACGCTCGCTCCTTATTAGGTATAATGTAAATAATTATTAAAGGGGGCTCCCTTAAGTATTTATTTTATTCTGTGTAACAAAATTCATAATGATGCTTCCAGTCCTCGTCCTTATTACCCAAAGTCCTGGTTATGGCCGGAGGAATACGCTGCCACTCTCATACAAAAAACTGTGCGCCAGTACTTTATACAGAGACAAGAAGAAGTACAAGAAATGCGCGACTTTTGGAAGGTTTGTCACTAAATTTTTTATCGCGCCCACTTCACTGTTGAAATAGTTTGAAATTATTGTCTTCAACCTAAGAAGTAGTTTCAAGTGTAGGAGAGCCATGCTTCGGCACGAATGGGCCGGCTCGGACCGAAGTGATACCACGGTCTTACAGGGGAAACCGACGTGAAACAACGCTTGCGTTGTTTCGTTGTGTAATTGAGGTTACCGGAGGCCGAATTACCCCCCACCCCCAAGCTCCCCAATTCCGTGAATCCCCGAGAATTCGTTTACCGGCTTATCCCATCAAAAGGTAGGCCGTGATCCGGGCCGCCCTTGCGGATTCACCGCACCCGGCAGGCCTCGACCTACCGCTATATTGCGGCAAGTCTTACCACGTAGCAGCACTCAGAAGCTGCGATTTCCTTCCTCGAATGGTGTGCGTGGAACAGAACGCTAAGGCCTACTCCCGCTCATACAGCGGACGATGAACTCCCCTAATCAGTCGCCCGCGGGCCTCTCCTACGGAGGTCGCAGATCAGCTACCACTTCTCGGCTTTGACAGCCGGAGTGGATATTAACCAGCTAATAAAAAAGCGGATATTATTAAAAGCTAAGATAAGATTATATGTGTTTAAAAGGCTACTGTTGTTTCAAATTTCCAGAAACTCGAAGTGGAACGCCAGATTCCCGACATGGAGTTCAATCCTTTCTTGGCCAAGGCGTTTGCATCAGCATCGCATTTGAAAAAATTATAATTCCCACTTGCATGGTAACAAGAAAAGTATGGAGGAACAGCATTCCAATAATAATGGATGGCAAATTAATGTGAACTGTGTACATCTATTTAAATTATTATATGAAGTGAAGATTTCGGCTTCAATGTCATTATTAATTTTGACTTGTTACTGTCGCAAATCTTTAAATGAATATCTTAAATCAAATAGATCTATTTTTCAAAGGTTAATAACAATATAAAATGTTACATAATTAACTATTTGCCACATTGTTAAGCAAAGATATAAACACTATATTAGACGTATTACATAACAACGGGAATACATTACATGTATATACAATATATTACATGAAAGGGAAGGTAGAGGTGCATAGTGTGGCATCCGCTTTTCACTTTTCACTAATGTGCTTCAGTTGTGTTATGACTATGAGTATGTTGTTAGTCTCAATATCACAAAGAAAGCTGAATAAAATATGGTGCAGTATGTACAATAAATTGTTATCGTCTACTTTATTGCTCTATAATATTATCTATAATAAAATACACATGTAATATTGGTTTCTTGTTTTCTTTAACTTAGTGGCACTCCCTCATAGAGTGAAGGACTGGCAGGTGTACCAAGGCCCATAGAAAATTGTACAGTTGGCTTTTCATCAGGTTTAGCTATTCTCTTGACTCTGTTCGGACTGTAGTTGTAGGCTATTGGCATTGTAAAGTCTGTCATCACCTGGAAATCAATACAAAATATACTTTATATAATATAACAACCCAAGTGTTTTTTCTAACTCTGGAAATCAAATTAAACCTCTCTGACCTTAACCTGAAAAATCAAAGGTAACAATCACTTAAAACTTATCTATGAATTCATCAATGAACATAAATGAAAGGAGAATGGCAGGTTTGTATGGAAGTTTTGTACCGCTATAAAATTTTGTATTAGTCATTGTTTTAACCAAGTGAATAGTCTGAACGATAGATATTTTTATTATGAAGTTTAGAAAAAAATTACATATTTTTAGAACTTGGGGTTCAAAAGTTATTTCACTTTGAAAATGTGCAAAAGGTATGTTAAGGTGGTACCACACTTGACATTGCGTAGTCGCTTCATTTGTCCAAATATTTGTAGACTTCGTACAAATGGCGTCCAAATAGTATCTCTATATGTAATGGCGTGCAAATATATAGCAAACAAAGAAGAATAAATCCTCCAAACATGTTCTTTTTTGGCCGAACACAACAAATACGCAACGTCAAGTGTAGAGCCACCGTAAGCAAAATATCTATTACAAATGACAGATGACAGTTAACTGAAAAATGTCAATGTGCTCTCATGTGGTTGTTTATTTACAAAAAACAAAAATCTAAAAATACTGCTCGCTACTCAAGTGACTATTACACTTTGTATTATTAGAAAGAAAGAAAGAAAGAAAGAACCATTTATTTTGCTACGACACACAACAAGAATTTAGAAACCCAAAAAATAACCTATGGTGCGTCGCAGCGCAAAAGGCAATTAGGAATGATCCTGTTAATTCAGCAAGCATGATGCACCTATAGAGTTTTAAAGAGTATGCCTCACAATCTTTTTCATTTCTTAGGTGCCTACGAAAATGCAAATTCATAATGTAAGCGACTGTCATTGGGTAGAAGGCCTACATTTAGCAGTGGAAGTCTTGTGGCGGATATGATAAAACTAATGTCTCACTTCACCTTGAATCTTGCAGGTCTCAAGGGTCTCAAGTTAATTCGATTTAAACTTAGCTTAGCTCTTTGAGAAAGTATTTCTTCTGAAAACTGGTTGCTTAGCACGCATGTAAGGATTAATTTCTAATAAGTAAGTCAAATTAGTAGAATCATCAACATTTTCATCATTAAGTCTATAAGTGGCCACTGCTGACCGAAGCGTCTTCTCGCATGGAGGTTTGAGCATTAATCACCATACTAGCTCAATGTGGGTTGGTAATTCAAACTTATAATAAGAAATTATAAGCCCTCACAATGTTTTCCTTCACCATTCGTCAGCGGTGTCTTTGTACTTTCTTAGATTATTGAATATACCAATAACTCGGAAAAAAGACACATTGGACAAAAGGTACTTTGCCGTTGGTAGGTTTCGAACCCGCACTCTCATGCATGAGAAGCGGGCTTCTTAAACCTCTGGGCCAGCACATTACAACTAAAGAAAATGTAAAATGAAAATGAACATTTTTAGTATAAAACTAAAGCTATCTAAATTAAATATGGCATTTATTTTATAGATTGATTCTTAAAATCACTTTTATCAAGATGGAATATATAGTTACTTACTAGGTTAAAATAAAACAAATGTATTATTTTGAAATACTTTTATTTCATTGTATTCAGGTTGTTTCTAGGAGTACTTCATCTAAAAAGAGAACAGGCCGTGTCATAGGTACAGCAGACATCAATTGCTGATATCTGTAAACAAGTAAGATAACTGTAAATAAAGTAAACAAAAGTACATTTCTTTCCTTTAGTTTTATATGTTATAATAATAAGTCTGATTCCCTATCTTAAAATGGAAAAGATAAAAATAAAATATTTGATTACATTACTTCATTTTATAACATTTATTATAGTTATCATTATAACACAGATCATAGGAGCTCAAACGCATGCTAATTAATAAATTATAATTATAACATGAGTATAAACCTATTAGAACCGCTTATATACTCCACATGATACATAATTATGTAGGTACATTATATTGAGAATGCATACCTGTTGAAGCTTTGAGAGCCGAACAACATCATCCGGCCTCATCTGTTCTACAAATGGCAATGTTAAAGTGAGGCTTAGTCCATGTTTACATAATACATTACTTCCTGATAGTGAACACTGTGAGGTGGTATGTCAGGTTGTGGTTTTATAGTTTCGACTCTTGTACGGTCTCTCAGTCAGTATGGAAATCTTCATCATGGGAAGTAAGCTAAAATAAGTAATATTATTAGAATATGATATTGACTTTAGATTACACTGTATATAGATAATGGTATGGTTAAATTATGCTTTATTACCTCTTGTGGCTGAATCCAATCAAATACTATATGAGCCAGTCTTTACTCCTGTTTGTTGGCGCCTTCAATTAAAACCCTGCGTCACCTTATCATTGCAATGAATCACCCATATACGACACAAACATGCCAGTGACCAATTTGTTTGCTGGACATACTTTCAGCAACATCCTGATACATTGCTAATTGCCAGCAAGCATTGCAAATATGGTCGGTAGGAGAGATCTAGAATAAAAAGAATAAAATGATACATTATGGGTAGATAACACTATGCGCCTTCTTTTATTGAGGCAACATGGTGACTTTAGATATGTTATGGGTAAACTAGGTACTTACATCTCTAGGATAAGTCCACATTGGGATATTGTTGACCACGTCTAATCTTCACTCTCATTTTCTAGAGCATGCCGTCTCATGTGCGACAAACTCTGAATGCAATTAATACACTGTAAATTCATCATCGCGACAAATAACAACACACTGCACAAAACAATGTAAATAAGTGTCTTTTCGCAATTGTCACAACAATGATTCCAATAATACCAATTTGGGCTACGGAGGAACGGTTGCCAAACTCAACGTATCACCAGATGAATAAAATAACTTCAAATTCAACAAACACATCATAACATCGCATTTGAAACAAACAGCAATGCGCCAGTATTGACAAATTAATTGTCAATGTCATCAAGACAAATGCCAGTTCAACATTGCCATAATATTCAAGTTTGTTAAAATGTTAATTATCATTAATAATCCATGTAAACGTAGATTTAGATTGGATGTAGATTTTTATATTTACTTATAAAAATGTTTGAAATGGAAAGGAAAATATTTCATTGATAGATATTAAAATAAATGAGTTTATGAAATAGCGAAATTCAATATGCTCTGATTTCATCTTTACGCATGGCAACTTTGTAAACGTCAATCGCGGTTCGTTTTACGTATAGTGGATTGCTTTTTATCATTATTGAATATCAGTTTTTCTAGGGTTTCCCAAGTTTTAAAAATCTATTAAATATGCTAACATAACGTACTTAGGAGGTTCTATAATGACCCAATTTTTTAATGACAAATCTTTTTTTAGCGAAGCGGTACAAAATCTGCCGTTCTCCTTTCATAGATAAAAATATTGTAATATTTAAAAAAAAAGTAGGTATGTACTACTACTATATAGTAATATACTACAGTATTTAAACTGTCACACACCGCGAGGACACTGGTGACCGTAACCTATTGTTCTTTAATTGTGTCTATAATGACGGTACTCAAAGAGTTAATACACAGAAGTTTAAACTGTCAAACACCAAGCGGTCACCGGTGACCGCAACCTATTGTTCTTTAATTGTGTCTATAAATACGGTACTCGACGAGTTAATAGTCATCAAATTACAATCAAAATAATGTTTACCTTGTCCTCATATTATTGTTTTAGTAGTAGTTAATTTAAAGATGTATACATTTATGTTGTTTTGTCTCTTGTTGTAAAGTTATTCATGTAAAATTGTAAAATAATACTTCAATAATACCTTCCCTAAGGAGATTAGTGGTGAGGACATGATTAGAAATAGTACATATACGATCTTATACAAATATAAGATCTTCTAACATCTCCCAACATTAAGTTATTCTAATAAAATGAATATTACGCACCTCCAGTCCTTTCTTTTCATGATCCTTGATAATAAATTTCTTCATTAGTGGCGGCATCTCAATATTTCTTGGTAGAATCACCTCAGGGTAGTCGTGCACTTCCTTAACACTGGCCAGCAGTTTGGCCTCCTCATTCTTAGGGATAAGTTTGTAATCAGGCTTGTAAGATGTACGATATATTTCTGTCAAATTCGGCATTTTGCGACCTCTAAATGTTTTCTCAACCCATATTCTAACTCTACGTCGTTCCTGAAAAATTTAACACTCTTGAGCCGGAGAATAATACATAGGTTCAATGAATAATGTGTTATACAAGAAAAAAGTTACTACACAATGAATAAAACTTGGTGTGACACACGAAAATATTAAAAAATATAACTGGTATCTCACCTCATCAGGACAAGTTTCAACTTTAACAATCTTCATAAAACTAGGCTCTGGGTATCTTTCGAAAACTGATCGCACAATGATTCTCCCAACACCTTGATTTTTCAAACTCCCAACGATTTCCCAAAGAGTCTTTCCTTTAAAATCGGTTGTTCTTCCGACATACTTTATAACAGTCGAGGTCATTTCGTAGAAAGGAAAATGCAATTTATTAGATTATACAATTATGATCGTATCGGGTTTATAATTTTTTTTAGGTTATATTATTATGACATTTTTCATTCTGCCAAGTGCCAAATTGACAACTTAGTAAGGTACGTCAAAACTGACAGTTGACACTAGCAATACGTATAGCCATAAAAAAAATAATATTACAGAATGTAAAACACCTTTGTCAAGTTTATTGAACACACTAGCGGAGCTTTTTTTAATTACCTTCTTCTATCCTCAAACGAAACCAAAAAAAAAACGACAACGTATTCATAAACCTACTTTGTTTCCGGCTATAACTCAAATAAAAGACTAGCACCCTGCTCTCTGTTGGTAAGTGGTTGGTAACCAAATAACTACAAAAAAAATGTTATCAGATAGATCATAGATGGCGCTATTTGTATTCTCTCTAAAAAATAATTATCTGGCCTGGCATCCAGATATTTGAGATATTATATGTTCTTTTGAATGAAAATCAGGTGTTTCGCAATTTTTAATGTAATTTTATTCAACTAAAAGTTCACACAAGTTTTACTATTTCTTTTGCTTGGATTTCTTCACGAAAGTAGCCAATTGAAAATAGTTTTCATATTTTAAATAACCTCTGTACAATATTATTTGAGCATTGACGCAGATTATGGTAAGTTTCTTATAGTTACCTACCTACTTATAGTAATTACACTATACCTAATTACAAACAAAATATGAATTAACTACACTACCCAAGAAATAGGTACTAGTACGGTACGAAATGGAAACTAGGTAAATGTTCAGATTTAAAACAATTTTGGTAAATTCATAAATTATTATAGGCACTTATCGACCTAGAAAGAAAGAAATCTTTGCACAACTTGTACGTTATTAAGCTTTAAGTTGTAGGTTCTATCTTAAGTTAGTTCTATCTTAACGGTAGGTTTGCAACGGGTACTGAACAAATACAGTAGGTATTAGTAGATTGGGGAGCCACCTTACGGTGGCCGGAGATCGTCTCGCGGTCCCCGACGCCCGGTGTGTCCTTCGCGATGGCTGGGTTGTGAGGAGGCAGCGCTTCGCTGCCTTACGCGTCCCGCCTCCTCCTTGCTAGCATAACTGCTTCGCAAAAGGAGGAGACGGCATCCCAGTCCCCCTCGCTCCGCATCATGACCTGCACTAGGCCCGGACGCGAGAGGTCGCCATCCTACTGTCATTTACTGTTTCTTGTGCTGAGCTAAGTGGGTACTGAATTAAATTTTATATTTGTACTGTTTTAATTGTTACCTTCTTTATTAACTTCTAATATGTGTCCTCCTATGCGGCCCTATTTCTCTTCAGGAGCGAACTCCAGTAACTAACTCTAAGAGTGTCTCATATTTTATATTTTAGAATTTTACGGTGTCTCAATATTCACAATTTCTAAAACATGGAGCTTTGGAATAGAAAATCTCCATGTGTTGTTTTTCATGAACATTCTCTCTGCTTCTGATGTAAAAGCTGCCCATTGACATTAAATTATTGAAAATTTAATTTAAATTTTAAGGTTCCTGAATGGCACACAAATAGTGGTGTTACCGCTCCAATGCACCAATATGAGACACAATAGAAATACATTGTCTCGCGTGGGTCCATGTTTAGACACACAACGGGTTAAAAGAAAAACAAAATTGTTTATTAAAAATCAACTTCAATTTATTTCAATTTCTTATATTGTTACTTTATGGAATTTATGCAATACAAATGTTGTAAAATATAATTACAATAGTTAACAGTTATTAAATTTTAAATGCAGGTTTTAATTTTAATTATAACAATGTCATGGAAAAGTCCAATTTACGCTGACCAATTTATAATATAGTAAATCATTGCCCATGATATACTATGAAATTAATAAACAGTCCTTCATGCTACTTAGTGAAATCTTAATCTTCTACATTTTGCTAATGAGGGTTTCATATTGAACTATGGATTAAATCCCATTAAGCCCTAATGTTAAATATTACAGGCAAGTTTTAGGCATTTTAATTATAATACCTGCTATTATAAAATGATTAAATGATATAAGTAATCATAATAATTTAAATACAACTTTAGAACTCAAAGTGCCATGACATTGGACATTAGCTATGGCCATAATACAATCACTGTTTATAACAACACAAAACATTAAGAAACAAATTTGCACTAGTCACTATCCATTAAGCAATCCCAATATCCTAATTAGACTGCAATTAACAAATTAATATATTTTAGACAATTAATTACCAAGCAATGAAATAGCATAACTGTCACCTTTGGTGGCACTTTCCGTATACCTTTGCTATGTTAGATAGAATTAAAGAGCACAAGTAACTTGCACATAAAAAGCATTGAAACAAAGTCTTGTATGCCATTTCAGAGCTTAATGTATTATACTCAAACAGAGTTCTGAAAGTAACGCTACCAATCACAGTATTGTGATTGTATGTACCGAAACTCTCTATTAATTAGTGAAGAGGCTACTCTTCATTCATCTAGCTGCTTCTATTTCTACAGCAACCAGAATCTGACAATCGGTACTTTCATTTAAAATATACAACTTTGCTAATTCTTACTATACCAATTGTCACTGATAAACTCAGTTGAAGTAGAATATAGAAACATAATAATCATACATTTCTACGGTTATAACTGTACAGCAGTCACATTCCGTTGGCAAATAATTAAACATAAAATAAATATTAAATTTAGCTATAAATTGCCTAGTTACCAACCGGAATGGCTTTGTGAACACGCAGGTGGTGAATAACAAGTCCAATCTTACAAGAGGCCTGTATACAATAAAACTTACATTTGTTACATTGCCCCACAATTAAATATTACTAAGCAATCGCAATAATAATTTAAGACATATTTACACATCATCGTCGGTATTCCACAATTAAATAAGGAACTTAAATTAGAATAATTTAAGATAGTCGGGATATTTATTATTAATAGGAATCAGTCATTCAGTATCCACAGTGATCGAGCTGTAGTCGATCGGTTGTCGTCTCGTAACCGTCCGGCGTGCGGAGCGCCCGGCTGTATTGCTTCGTGCGCTTTTTGAACATATGTAGCGCCGCCGGTGGCTCACGGCACGCTCCGCGGCGATGACAGCGGCGACGGCGGGCGTCACGAGGCGAGCCGGCCCCGCACCGGCCTATGCATAACTTAGGACTCAGCACGAGGTCGATCATCGACGCGAAAGCTTTCGGCTTGGAATTTGCCATGCTCTAAATCAAGGCTAGAAGTAACCTAGAAGTGTGAACTCGCCGTGTGAGGTACGAGGAGCGGGCGCGAGGCCCGGGGGGCCGCGGCGGCGGCGCGGACGCGACTCGGAGCTGCGGCCGCGCCATCGCTTAAGTCGTATCCCGTCCGTATGTACCGATGCGTACTTCGTCGATTACGCTTGCCCACTCCAAAGCATATGAATCGGGGTCTTCCAAGTAATATGTACGGTTCGGCTGAAATAAAAAAATACAATGTTATAACTCTCTATAAATAAATAAAGCCGCAAAATATGTTTACAGTCATGTATTAGTTGAGTTGTTATGCAAGCAGTATATAATTACTCACCGTGTGAACTAAAAATATTCTGAAGTTTTTAGCTTCAACCCGCAATTGAGGTGACCAAGGGATCTCACCCTTAAGCACCATATTGGCCGGATCTACATAAAATAGGCGCGGCCCTGTGGTTAGTAGCAGCATACGACGTCGTGGAAATAGACCCTTTCGCTTGTCGACCAAGCCTTGCTTCAAAATCAACTCTCCATCGACAAACTGATGCCATTTGCTCTCCCGAGATTGCACTTCGAGACGACGGCGTTTTTCTTCTGGACTAATGTTCAAGATTCCTGAAAATAAAAGTTAAATTTATTAACAATTTCGTCAAAGATAAATTTTATCAAATTCAGATGTTATATAAAAACAGCTGCGTGCACACACACAGCTGATCATAAGGTCAACGTTAATAAAATACGTAGGGCGTAACGAGCGAGTCATTCATGTCATGGCATAAGCGGTTGAGAATGTGCCACTCCGGGACAACGGCGACGTGCCGGAAAGTTGACGTCATACCAACTATAAAACCGTAAACCATATACTGACTGAGGACGTCCGTTCTGAATGTGTACAACAGTGAATGCGATGACGTAGGTACTTGCTACTCGTGCAATAAGTGCAAGGATCATATTACGATCATCTTCACAATAGTCTATGAACAATATTATTCATATGAAAAAGTTCGCTTATTTGGAAATAATCATAAAATAAAACGTTATTGGACTCGGTTTAGTTATGAAACGAGAAGCGTATAAATTTGCCAAGAATTCAGGTCATGGACGCACCAGTTGCCTCTTACTCGTCGCTTCACTGCACTCGCCCGAGACTTTGTAATTGTCCACATCGGATACATGGACAACCTACTAACATCTATTATTTAAACTCCTATTAAATAATGCAGTTACTAATAAGTGACTATTATTTGTAAATATTATAAAATTAAGACAATTACCTTTAGAGGTAGATAAGTCGAATTCCCACAGTCTTACAAGCTGTTGATTGCCCAATCCGGGTTCAAGATGATCTGGCACATTATATTCCTCTTCAAATGAACCGCCGGGTAAATATGGACTAATAGTTGGTGGCGTCTGATCCCACACGTTATCCCAGTCAATTCCAGCGAAAAATGGATGGTTCCGAATACTGTCATAAGTTTCGCCTTTATCGGTAGCGCCAAGTCTCTTAGAGTGATCAAGTACTAAGAGCTTTTCTACAAGATCTTTGGCATCTGCAGGAAAGCCTTCTGGGAACTCGAAATCCATCTTTAGAATTTTTTGGAACGTAAGAAACTCTGTAGCCGCTCGAAATGGAGGCAAACCCGAAATCATTTGGTAAATAATGCAACCCAACGCCCACAAATCAGAGGCACGTGTGTCAACACCGTCGTGTAATAATTCTGGACTAACATACTGCGGTGTTCCGACGAAACTAATTTTTCTAGACCGTTCATTTTGCGCGTCATCCGTATTATTTGACGATGCACGAATCTCTTCCGGTTCGAGAATTTTGGCTGTACCAAAATCAGCAATTTGCAAATGCATATTTTCATCTAATAATATATTTTCTGGTTTTAAATCGCGGTGAATTATTCCTTTGGCGTGCATTTTCTCTAAAGCCATCAATAATTCGGCCGCATAAAATTTAGCTACATTGAGCTCAAAAGAGCCAACTTGATTTATGTAAGACAACAGTTCGCCATTTTTTGCAAATGACAAAACAAAATATAGCCTTTCTTCATCTTGAAATGTGCAGTACAGTTTTACAAAACCGTGAGGTACGTTAAACAGCATGTTTAGAGCATCTTTCTCACGTCTAATGTATTCCCTTTTCTTCTTTCGGATGATGTGAAGTTTTTCGCATACTTTAACTGTAAAAAAAATAATGGTTTATTATTATCCTATAACTTTTTCCATTCCTAATTCAAAAAACGATCTAAAAAAATATTTATACATACTTGCATATTCTTTTCCACTGTGAATATCCTTTGCAAGAAAAACTGTACTGTAACAACCCTCGCCAATAAGTTTTCCAAAAATGTAATCTTTAGCAGTTCGTTTGGTGGGCTTTTGTGCCTGACTGGCAGCTGGTGAAGATGCTGGCGCTGAGGGCGCAGCAGATGCAGGCGCCGGCGTTGTCGGTGCGGGCGCTGGCGCTGCTTGCATCTTGATAGGTGTCTCTACTATGATTTCGGCCGCAGCAATTGGGGCCCGTAACTCACTAGACGCTCGGCCGTTAATCTGTAATAATGAAAACACGCACTGAGTAAAATAACAACAAGACTAATTTCACGGAACTGTAGGGACTTGATCACAGACTCTGTCTAGTGGAACGTCGTGAGAGAAATGCGACGTCGTCGCGCTTCGAAAGCGTGCACTTGTTTATCGGCTGGCAGCAGCGACGGCGACGGCGGCGGCGGTGGTGGGTACGTCATGCGCGGTGGGGGCCAGGGGGCAACGCGCCGTCTGCAGTGCCGGTTTCTTTAAATTTAGGTGACCGCTAAATACGTAAACAATGCTTAAAACTACGCGGTATAAAAATTGAAAAATATTACTTAAAATTCATCATGACGTGTTTACAACAGTTTGTCAATGGAACGTCAACGATATTTTTGTTTTTATTTGCATGGAGGTCCTAAAACGATGACCTCTTTTTTGGCCATAAATGGTTTTGAATTTAAAGTTCCTCGTCTTCATTTATAGTCACTTTTTGGTGTTTTTATAATATTATGAATATTTAATTCTGTTATGTCGAATAATATTGCAAATATTTATTATATCAAATGTAAGATTTCACCATCGAGGATTTAAATAGTCAAAATGTTCTCCGCCACGTTCACTGGCCTCGCCTACAGTTCGATGATCCAATTTTTCGAGTTCGTAGCTCGAGTTTTTGTTCATTTTTTACGGGGCCGTCGTCGAACAAAAAATGACGCTTCCATTCAACGTGAGTGGTGATAGAGATAGCAGTTGCATTCGCAATTTTGTCTCTTTCTAGCAACGCTGCAGAATACCGCGAGTTCGTGTTTAACGGTATATTAGCCAAAAGCAAACTTAATGAAAAGCGGCAAATGAAAGTAACTATAATATAACAGTTACTTTGCGGGAATGTCCATTCTTCAATTTCCACTGTACATTTGTTTTTTAGGTTAAGACATTCTTTTGGCATTGGCAAAATTGTCTCGCCGACACTGCTTTTAGTGAAAGTCTTTGTGGGCGCTAGCCTCTATTTCCGAGATGTGAATTTACTAGTGGAAAAATTCAATACTGGGGGGAGGGTAAGGCGACGAGTTACAAACTATAATTGCTACTAGGTCACAGCATAACTAATTACGTACGTTACTTAAGAGATAGGTTGTCTCCGAGGTTGGATACTATAAATATACTTAACACAAGATTAAATAGTGAGGAAAATATCTATTATAATATCTTAAATAGAGTACTATGAAAACAAAGTTTGTTTACGTAAATTGTTATTTATATTATGTCGAAAATCTTGTAGTATTTTATATTTATTTTACTCAACATTAGTTATAATACTGTAAGCAACTTTGCTTATGGTTAAAATTTGGTTAGGAAGTGAGTCACTAACAATTAAGCTCTGTTGTAAGCGCCGCAAATGGGTCTCGCATTCCGCAGCTGGGGCACTGCGTTGGGACGGTGCGGCGGCGGCGGTGTAGACCACCGTCGCAACGGTACTTACACTCGCATTCCCACACCAACGGATTCCACCGTCTACTAACACTGACTTCATACCCGACCTAGATCCCCACCACCACTCAATGTTCCTTTACACTATTGCTTTGCTCTTTGCGACATAATCCACATGACTTTATGTAATGTTGAGATTTGTCCGAACAAAACAAATAACGCAGTTTTGATTATTTTATTTTGTGTAGAAATAAAATAATTGTAGTAAGGCTGGCTCTATGTATTATCGTCAATTTAATCGGGTAGAGACGGATGCAGTGCATTTAACTTGGCACTTTTGTTTACTCTTCCTATAATCGACATCCGTTTTAGAGTTAACTAACGTTTAGTCAGCATTCACGTGTTATTTTAACAGTTAGCTAGTTACCAAGGGTAGTATTTGACTACCATCATTATTAATGTGAAGTAAAACGCAAGATGAATAAGGAATTCTCACTGCATGATCATTAATCACAAAGTATAAACAACCTGTGTTGAACAACATTTAACAACAGACATCCTTCGTCGCACTCAGAACGACCTCTAATTATTATTAAGTACTTATGTATGATGCGACACCAACCTTTGTTTACGTTCATAAACAATCGTTGATTTATACTAAATCCTTATTACTATTAATTGTTAAAGTGTGTTTCAAGTGGATACTTTAGGGGTAAAAAAACCGTCGTTTATAAATATTTATGGCGGATAACAGTCTATAGTCTAGTTATGGATTACATCTATTCAGATAATAAACTAGTCAAACAGAACGGCCCAACGCACCCGGTAGGTAATGGAGTTTAAATAAGGACCATAATCTGTTGTTGATGTTTTGGGATATAAGTAGGTTACTTTCCAGTGCAACCTGTATTTTTCCACAAAGCACAAGCCCTACAAAATTATCAGACAAGATAAAGAATGTGGGTGTACATAACCTCCTCCGCAAAGTATTACGCCACAACATCAGTGATGACGTACGACAAACATTGTGGCGATGGCGTCGGCGTTTCAATTTTATCTAGATAACAATATTTGGATAAAGAGCGATATGTAAATATATATTTAATTATTTTACAGTTATCTGCTTTTGCAAAACGCAAGGTAGCATATTGTTTTGTCATCTCTACTGACTGGTCGAGGGAATCTTGAAGCAATTATTAAATTGCTACGTAGCTATTGTACCAAATAAGATACTTACATCAAATTTGATCCCAAATAAATTAATTGTTACACGACAAACTGGAAAATAATATGAGCTGTTGTAGACATCTGATGCAAATATTTTTGGCTATTACACCTACCCACGTGAGCGCACCACTAGTGCGTGTTAAAGGTCGTGCAAATCATGCATATTGCGCGGCAGTATTAACTGAACAATCTGCGTGTACCCAGTATCTGAAGGATACGTTTGTGTTTACGATAGTTGAATGATTGCAGCCGTAACGGTCTGTTGAATGCGGAGTAGGGCTTCCATCCCGGGAGTCTCGGTCTCGAAAATCCCGAGAGTCTCGACGATTTTTTCATGTTTTCGAGACTCGAGACCTCAGCTCCAATTTTCGAGAATTTCGAGACTTTCGAGAGTTAGTTAAATAATCTACAAAAAATACCAATCTACTAAAAAAATGTACTAAACTACCATTATTATTTTAATTAAGTGACGTGGCAACACTGTAAAGTGAAAGTTAGGATAATCTGTGGAGCTTGCAACTTAACCTCAAACAACATACGTTCACATCACAATAAAACGCTTATTGTATCTTTATAAAAAGTGTGAATTATATAGCTTGGCAACAATGTGTTCCTTAGCAGAGAAATTGAAAGGTATGTGTCTTATTCATGTTAAAAGTATAAGTAAGTAGTAAACAAAATCATTTTAGTTTAACTATTTTCGTCATATTTTGTAAATATTTTGGTTTGTTGTGTTAGCTTGATGGCGCTATGCAACGAATTGAATGAATTGCTATAATTTACCTATAATAGAAACACAAACTAGCACCCATGACTTGCAAACGACTTTGCATGTAGAAAAAGCTCTCTTTGAGAACGGTGGTGACAGAGGTAAGCATTTAAATCAGTGCTATAATTATTTACTATCCATCCCCCCTACTAGTGTCGAAGCAGAGAGAGCTTTTTCAAATGCAGGGTACTTTTGTAACAAAATCAGATCCTCTTTATCTGAAAAGTCATTGAATGCCCTTTGCTTTCTGCGTGCATATTTTAAAAATGAAAAATGTTAATTTTATATAATACATTTGTTTTTTTTTTGGAATAGTTGATTAATAAAGTGCATAATTGAAACATATTGTTTTATTTGCCTAATTGTATAAACCTTGAGTATGAAACTTATTTAGTCTCGAAAGTCTCGTTTTTCCCGGGACTCCCGGGACCGGACCCAGTCTCGATTTTTTTTTCCCGGGACTCGAAAATGTATCGAGACTGGAAGCCTTAATGCGGAGATCGTGAGGAGTTCGCAATGGTAAACAAGGTGGTCACGCCGGCGACGCGTGAACAAACAAGTGCGGTGCTGTGGCCGCGCCCGCCGCTCGACGATGTTTGTTTGTATCACACGAGAAGAGACGCACGCTCGCTTGTGAACGGTGCACGAAGTCATCCATTGACATTTTTACATATAGCAAAACAGGGCGAAAGTGTGCAATCACCGCTTTACACAGCGAAAGTTTACTAACATTTGCCTGCCTATTGATTCTACGACATTGCCACGTCTTCGTTTTTTGCCTATTCGAGACATAAAATTAATCTCCGCACATTTTCAAAACTTATTTATTATTTTATTACTTCTTAATATTTTTAACAAACCCTTTTAAATTAAAACATCTCAAAACTAAATATTTTATTGGAAAATACTAAATCTAAATACACAGTACCCAAATAAATACACTTTCACTTTACCATAATCTAAAACTTGAAGTCAACCTAACAAGTCAATCGTTATTCAACATTACTGGGTATAAACAAACCGACACGGGGGTACACATAAACACGAGCTTCAGACAGTCAATGACCTTACCTTAGATTTGGGCGAGGGCTGTTTCCCGCGCTTCGTGGAGCTCACGCCAAGTAATCGCAAAATCCTGTTCGCTGCTTCGAGAAGAGTTGCACTACCTCTCGATCCTCTTTTAACTCTGTTGGTCAATCCGCTCATTTCGCTTGTCCTCACACTTTGTTTTCTACCGTTTTTGTTAATGTTTGAAACGGCCAAAAACACGATCACAGTTCATTAAGATTGATTATTGTTCTTTCGTAAATATTCGGTCACTATTATAAACTAAACGCAATTTTGACGCACAAAAAATTAAAGATATGCAATTCTAGATAAATAAATAAACAACGATAATTTTCCGATATTGGAAACGCGCGCGTACGTCCGTTCGGTCAAACGGCGCGTTGCGGACTGACAACTTATACAGGAATGCAACGAAGCGACCTGACGCGAACAGAGCATTGACTACGTCTCTCTCTCGCCGCTAGACAGAATAATCGCATCGGTTGGCATGTATACGTACAGGGGGAGGTGCGGCACGGCGGCGGCGGCGGCGGCGCGCGCGTTTCGATGTAGTTGTGAAACCCCATTCCCTTTTGCAACCCACTCCACCCTCCGAGTTCAATCTACGTGAGAAAGACGAAGCATGGCATGTCACCCTACACTCATGCCTCCTACACTGAAAAATCAACCACATGTATAAGTAACGAAGTCTTAAAGTAAACAGTGTGATTATTTATTTAAGAATGGAAGACAATACCTAATTATACACTCCGAAATAATATAAGATTGTAGGTATATGAAAAACCCGTGGTTATATTAATTATTTAGTAATACATATATAAACACCTTAAGTAGATCCAATATATTATTTTCTCAGATCTTGTGCATTTGTGTGTAGGGGTGGACAACAACGTGAGTGGGAAGTAGGAACAAATCAATATAAAATTAAGTTGAATGCAGCTGTATGGTGATGGTGCCTGCTATGGACAAAAAAGAGGACGCCAAACACTGTTATGCATCTGCGCTTCCCAACTGTTATTGTTTATATCAGATGTATATCTATATCCTAAAATCCATTTTCATTTTAAAATTGTTAACAGTAATCCGATCCTTAATGTATATGTATAAAAACTAATAACAAGTTATATTATGAAATTGTTATTTAGATTTAAGTAGATACACTTGTATTTTTTTTTATATTTGACGACTATTACGCCTTGTTTCTGTGATTAGAATACGATAATAAAATTATTTTTTACAAAGTTGGCATGAATTATGATGTAATTAAACTATTGCTCTATTACTATATATATTTAAAATATATTTAAAATATTGTAATAAATATTTTGATCTAAGTAGATACCTGGACCTTGTCTTAAAGTACAATTAAATAACATGTGCACATTTTTTTAAAATTAAACTTTACATATCCATCGTATTGAAATATAATTTCAAAAAGCAGGACATCTAAAGAATGTTTTTTTTTAATATTTAATATTATAAAGGTAGGTTGAGTGTGCCGCAGCAGATGTTGCTGGCACGTGCACGAAGCTCGTGCTTACTGGCGGGAATACAAACATGTGCATTTTGATTGTCATCCCTTGCATTCATAAAGTATAAACTTAGGTTGTTCAACAATATTCTTCAGTTTTATCGTTTATCGTTTATTTACAATTATCGATGCTACAAATAGTTGTATATACTTCGTATATTCTTCTATTCTATAGAAAGGCCACCCATATTTAATAGAATTAACGATAGAATTAAGTACCTATAGAACTGAAATAAAAAATGTGTCATGATGCCAGGCCATGTCATGCACTTGTTCAATGTTCAATAAATATTCAAAATAAAAATGACAGTTAGTCTATGAATGCAAATAAATCGCTGTTGATGACAATACTTTAAATAACTACCTAAGTTAGAAACAATTACAAGGTAAACACATAAACTGGTATACATTTTTGTTGTTTACGCTTAGCTAACCTATTCATACTTATTTGGGGGACACTGTGTGCAGCGCGTGTAAGAAATGCTGAGGTTTTATAAATATCAACATACCTACGTAACTATGTAATATATTTATGTGTACAAATAAGTACGTAAATAAAATTACATGTGACGGCAGGTGCTGCGAATAACAGTCTTGTCGAGGCAACAGAAACAAACAATTTTCGACTTCCAAACATAGAATTTTTTTTTTCGATTCAAGTTAATGCATATAAGAAACGCCAGGTGGATAGAAGTTGTTTCTTTTTTCTGTTTGTCGTATACGCAGTTGCAACCCCTGACGGGGCCCCGATGAAGCTACGTTTCAAAACAAAATAAAAGCTGCATCGACCATTGAACCCACCACCTGGCACTGTTTTTATGTGATACGGTATCCATATGGAGCAGAAAAACATATTGTTTGGGTACCTATTGGTTTCTCCATACGCAGATACATTTAAGAGTATTAATTGAGGTGGCTAGCGCTAACTTTAGACACTTCGATAGCTGTAGTATGATACGATACCGATAATTAAACATTATAAATGACTTATACACCTATACACATTTAGTCGACAGTGATGATGTTCAATATTCATTAAAGTATAATCTACCGTTTGTAGATATTTAAAATTGGTGTAAATAACAAACATGATAACCGTAGAACACTATTTGATAAAAGAGGGACGACTACGTTTCACTCGGTTCATTTTGGTGTAGGTGTATCGATAATACAACGATAACGATCGATAACCCATGCGCAAAATCATGCGCAGATAAGATTTATCAGCGAATAATAAATAATTCACAAAACAAAGCATTTGATTGAAAATATTGAGATCTGCGTTTTATGCACTGTACGACGACGCCAAATCTATGAGAAAACTTGATGACTTCGCTATCTCGTTGATTCATATTCATGCTCTGTTCAAGTAAATCTTTTATTTTTTATTTCGGTTGGTAAATTAACCCAATACATTGGCTTTATTTTTTAAATTAATAGAAATGAACATCTCTTTATTATGTAAAAAAGTGGCAAGTTAGACCTAAATCTTACATTGTCCTTTTTCTTTCCCACTCCATTATTGGCACCATTAAACTCCATACAAAATATAAATATAATTACTTCCATGGCAATACAAATCTTAGGTATTTATTGGAAACACGTGCAAATACGACAAGGTCGTACGACACTGTTGCACGTTATTTAGCTATTCCAATATGTTATTTATATGTATTGTATGCAACTGTAGCACGTACGTGCAAGCGCATGTCATTGCACTCTAATAAAATACTGATTTCTTACACATGTAACAATGATTTACGTACTATTGTACGTTAGTGCGAGTACGTACGTATTTATGAGCAACTATTGCTGTAAATTTTAATAAATGCACAACAACATCCTTTAAGACTTCCGCGTGTATAATAAATATGGTTGACCCATAGTAGCGTCTGAATCATGGGACGGCAGGTACTGAACACGGTGTAGGTAACCACCGAGGATATTTTGTATGATACGGTAGTACGTATTGGCAAAACAAATTACAAAGGCGCCTAGCGAAGGTTATCGACGTTCCGAAATGTCGTGGCTGCGGCCTTGAGTGGTCCTTTGACCCTCCATTGGAAGTAATATCCGCCGCTCTCGAACCACCTGCTCGAGTGCCCCTCGCATATTAAATATTTAAATCTTCAACGGTCTTATGGCAAATACATATATCTGTCTAATACACTTATGTAAACACAACACGGGATACCTTCTAAAATAATCCTAATACAGTTTTAATAAGCAAATAGTTCTTCCAAGTTGTAAATAGATTTCTTTTCTAAAATGATGCCCAATCCAGAATGATTGGTAGATATTTAAATAGAAAATATTTTAATTAAATTGAAATGATAAACACGTAAGTACTTAACACAATCGAAGATTTGCAAATTCACAATAGTTACCTATACCAAAGAACTCTTATTATTATTTTCGCGACACACGGGCGTGATAAGTTCGATGACCGATGAATTAATTCAAGGGCCTTAACCGTAGCTTTTATTTTCCTGATAACCTTCAAATTGTGGCCCCGCGGGTAAGGTGAGCTCGCAATATACTCTTTATTTTTACCTAAACACTGACTAACACGATATATAAAGCATTTAAACATTATTATTAATGTAAACTATTTATTTAACCGAAAACTACTGACAAAATTAAATGCATAGTTTATTTTCTGTACACTTTTATTTTCTTTACACAAGATATTCCTGAAAATATTAGTAGTAAGTAGGTATCTTCAGTAGGTAAACAAATAGATTCGTTTGACACAAACAAGTGAATTGATAAATTCAAATATTTTGTTGTTGTTACTCTACTCGTTTGTTTTTTTGGAACACGCCGATAAAGTTGTGTAATCTGATGCCCGACATCTATATGAAGCTTCCTTTACTATTAAAAGGCTTCTTTCCTGTTCATGGTTCATTTGAGAGCTTAATTAAGTATGTATCAGAAAAGTATTTAGTTTTTTATTATGTTATTTACAATGAATTACGTTACAATGAAGATAATTGAGGGCATGTCGATGAATGAATTCCTTATAATGCATTAATGACGACGTCGTCATCGGCATGGTATGCAGTGCGTCCCCAGTCCCCACTAGCTGCGAACAATATCGATAATATAAATGGACAGAGCATGTGTTGTCTCATCGGAAAACAATTAACGCACAACAAACAATTTAGTTGCGGTCACAGATAGTAGAGCGGGTCAAAGTACAAGAATTTGTGTCGAGATAACATTATGTTTATCACATGCACTTCCAAAACACATGAACATGTTTTGTAACCGTACTGTTAAAAATAGTTAACTGTTGCACCATATCTTTAATTCTATCTATCTATGTTTAATAATTAATTATTTTAATAACTACATAACAGCTTTTATTGGGTATTTGTTCCTGCCTCATTATTTGGTGTTGATTAGTAGTTTAGTATTATGTTTGATTTTGTTTATTGTTTTGATCTTGCTGTAATTAGTACTAACGTAGTTAAATAAAATTGTGTAATATTTCTTATCTGCAATCTTATTTTATGATGTAATCAATGCTTTGACAAAAAATATTCTACACCTAAAAGAACAAATCATTCATTTTAAACGATCATAACATCCTCTTGTTCTACGAATAAAAGGTTATCAAATCACGACAATAAAGTGCCCTTGTGTTTTTGTAAATACTTGTTCACAGTAAACAATTTGAAATTATAAAATAAGTTAATGAATAACTAGGTAACTACCTACTGGGATAAAACAATTTATTGAAAGATAATACAGAATGCAACAGATTAGGTCTTTGCACTGTGTGTATGTATTAAACCAGCAGCATTTTAAAAGTAGAATTAGATGTATGAAAATTTTACACTCAAAATTTAAAAATGTAATTGCTATTTTGTTTGTTTTATTTCAAAATAGGCCCCTTCTCATGGTTTCTAATGTACTAATGACAATTCATAACACCTAGAAATTATTATAAACAAAATCAAAAACTCGTTTCTCAATCTGTTGTCTAAAACTTAATTAATAAGTATGCTAAAAAAAGCCAGACATACCCATACAGACTTGGAACGTATGTAAATAAACATCGTAGTTTTGAATAATAACAACGTCGCCGTCGTTTGCACAAAATAAACTAAAATAATACAAATAATGAAGCAAGAGCTCTGGTATTTTAGTCTGTCTGAGTTAAAAATAAATTAAGACCTAAACCCTATAAGACTAACTAAATTGCAAAGCAACAGCGTGTTAAAAGTAGCCTTGCCAGCAGCGGCAGCGCCGCACACGCACAATTTTCTAGGGTTG